CACCACCACACATTTTTTAAATAGTAATGTTATACAATTTGCATAGGATGATTTCATTTGGAACCAAGGCAGGTATTTCTTTGTCTCTGCACACAATATACTGAAATGTATTTCTACAGTAATGCCACCACCCACCTCTAAAGGGGGCCTGAAATTAGTTAACAAATGTTTACAAAATACTTTGCAAACATGCAATGCAAAGTAAGACTACAATGCCCGTAAATTCTTCTGCAGAGTACAACAACTGGACTATGCTTGGATGGAGAGGAAGAAAAAAAACTGTCAAGAAGCCAATGGCCTGGGAGTCCACTGCTGGGCTGAGGGCAAGAGACAGGGCTCACCTGTCCCTTCTTCTGCATATTAACACTCACCACCTCTTTGGCAGACCTCACCAGGGCCCTAGGGGGCATGGATCAATTTGTGGGGGAAGCTAGCTCTGCTGTATAAAATTTTAAGTAAAAAGTTGCAGCCCATGGCACAAAAACACTTATTTTAAATATTGTCCTAGAGGTCCAGATAAACCAGAACCTTACAAAGTCCTAGACCCAACTCAGTCAGCTCAGTTCCTGATGGGTAAGAAGGATTTGTCCCCTACTCTAACTGCCTGCCAGAGGTTGGGGGCATCTAGTGGGCGTGGGAAAATAACGAGCAATAAGAGAACCCTTTTCTGTCTTCAGCAAGGGGAGCCTATGAAGTCCGCCTACTGGACGACCCTGAAGCATCGTCAGGAAGCCCTTTTTAGGCCTGTATCATCCCTTTTCACACCCTTCCTGGTGTCTGTCCCCAGAAGTTGCCTTCCCAGCCTTGATCAACACAGCAAGATACACCAGAACATACTGAACTTATCAAGCTGCAATGTAGCACCGTTAACAGGATAAACCTACACTCACATTCAACCTACGCATACCTGACTGTCCACATGTAGGTCTCAGTCTGGGAAAGCTTTAGGTGCGAATCCTCACTGGGAAAATGTTAAGATGTTAAGATTTCAGGATAAGCCAACAAACTTAAGCTTTAATAATGTGTAAGTCACAGTAAAGAAGAAACTCTGGTCAGCAGCCAAAACCGGGAAAAACTGAACAAGCACCTTCAGTTTTAACCCTTATTCCTTATACCAGAGAAAAAAATGTGTTCACTTGTTTAGAAATAAAGTGTCCTGGGTGCCTGGGTGGCTCAGATGGTTAGGCATCTGCCTTTGGCTGTCATGATCTCTGGGTCCTGGGATAGAGCCCCACATAAGGCTCAGCAGGGAGCCCGCTTCTCCCTCACCCTCTGCCTGTCCCCCTGCTTGTGGGCTCTCTCTGTCTCTGTCTCTCTCTCTCTCAAATGAATAAATAAAATCTTTTTTAAAAGATAGAAATAAAGTGTCTATAGCATCTGTGAGATAAACAATGGAAATGCCACTGTGAATCTATGCAAGCAAGGCTCTGCCCTCACATGGTTCCCCCCGAGCAGTACAGGGGGACGGGAGGCAAGGTACAGTACAGAACAAGTCTGAGTGAAAAAGCCACAACTGGGCAAGAACAAAGAGCCATTTATTGGAGCTGGATATCAAAAGTCAGATATTCAAACAGGAACGTTTCTCACAACATGTGATGCCTCAACTGAGACTCAAACAATGAAAAGATGTAAGAAGGAGAGAAGGGAGTGGACGGATATTCCATGCACAGGAAAATCATGAGCAGAAGCAAGAGAAATTGCAGCCATTTGGAAGAATAGAAAGAAGTTTGTCATAAAGCACAGAGGTGGCAGGGAGGAGTGGGAGAGACAACGCAGGAGACGTTAAGACTACGAGTAATGAAAAGTGGCCTAGGTGATTCCACGAAAAATGGGAAACCACTGGAAGGTTTTTAAAAAGAAGTCACAAATACGTTCTACTTTGTGAAGACATTTCTGATTGCTCCATAGAGGAAGAACTGGAGAGGACCATGGAAAAAGTGTAAGCAAGAGAACATAGTGAGCTGAATACTGGCACTGGGGATGGAGAGATGTGAACAGATTAATTGGAATTTAGAACAGACCAGCTTTGGTGGGGCAGACTGGCAGAGCGAGAACATGTTCAGAATGCTTGGGTTCAAATCCTGGCCCTGCCATTTGTAGAGAAATTTACTTCATATTTTTGCACCTTAGTCTTCCTTTCCAGAAAGCAGGAGGAGTAGGAGGAGGAGGAGGAGGAGCAGTAGTAGTTTTAACTGCTAATGAGATTATTATGAAAGCTAAACAAGTTAATTCACAAAGTACTTAGGACAGTTCTTGGTATGTGGTAAGTGCTCAGAAAAGTAGTTTCTAGTATTATTGAGTGTAATAGCTCAAAACTAGAAACTAGTTTTTCATTGACTCTAGAATAGGATGAGGGAGAAAAGGGGAGGAAATAGTCATGGATCTCCCAAAGGATTTGGGCTTGGTCAAGTGGGTGGATGGCCATGCCAGTTAATCTATTTACTGCCTCTCAGCTCCAAATCCACTCTTGATTTCATGCTCTGAGATAAGAGAGATGGACTCCCTAAGCATTTATCCTTTGCAGCAGGTATACTTTTATGCTTTGTCAGTAAAAGGCACTAGAGGGGTATACTACAGGAGGAAGGGACATCTCTTTCTGGCTCAAATGGGTTTCCATTTGCTTCTTTTTGCCTACACATGGCTGCCGGTGGTACAGGTGAGGGACACCTGGCAGCACTCATCCTCATGGCTGTAGCAGATTCCCAATGAGTCTCACAATTCCCCAGAAGTTGCCTTCCCAGCCTTGACCCATTCGCACCCCAGAAGAGCACCTCCCACCTGTGACGGAGAAACAGGCTCTGGCCTGGAGTAGCACCCTTCTCTGCCATCCATACTTTCTCAGTTGGGACATAGAGCACTTGAGACGCCTGTGAGGCATCCCAACGGCACCATCTGGTAGGAAGCCAAGCACGTGAAGTGTCCAAGCTGGAGAGAGAGTCTTAGACAGGAGTAGCTTCAAGTCTCTAAAGTCTTAGTAAAATGAAGCATATACGGAAATGCCACATGGCCAGGAGAAAGACGTTGTTTTCATTTTTTGTATGCTCCTACGTCTCGTCAGGAATCCCTACATAGGCTACGTATATAGGAGCACATTTCATCGAAAGACAGAGTGATTTCGTACTGTGTATGTCAGGTCATGCTATTCTATATCGATGTTTTCCAAGCTAACTGAAAATACGGTTGAAAAGTGCCAAGCCCTGTATTAATAAGCAAACTCTAAGTACACTCCAAACTTGGAGGTTTGAACCTGGTGGAGGCAGAGGAGTAATTAGTCAGATCGGCTACACTAGGTGCTGACTGCAATCTGAAAAACTCATAGATGTGCCAAAACCCCAAGTAGCAGAACTGCAAACTGGTGTAATGCTAACCTCTGAAACAACCAGCCAGCAAGCATACCCTGAAAGAGACCCAGGCTGATCCCTTCCACTCTTTCCAGGGTGTGAACTCGGCCTCACATAACTTGCTCCTCGCTTCACCCATTTCTCAAAAGTTTGAATCTACTGACCACAAAAAAAGGAAGTTCCATCAGCACTTTGCAAAGGAACAATTTGAAAGAGAAATGCATTAAATCCTCGGGGAAATTAAACCCAAATAATCCAATAACAGTCTTACAAAATTAACCCTAGACTATAAATTGAATTAATTGCCTCCTATTGTGGGGATTCTTGGCTGGCACGGACCAAAACAAATGAGGCCAATGATGTCAACTGCCTGAAGAGAGGCTGTGGGCAGTGGGACCTCAGGGTACCCAAGAGTTTACGCACTGTTGTTTTTCTAATTTATTCTGGAGATCTATAATCCGGAGAAGGATCTTCACTTCCGCCCATCACAAACCTTAAATTATGGCACTTTGTGGGAGTGGCTCGAGGTGGCACAATCCTTGACACAAAAGGTGCAACTTTGTGACTTGTTCTTTTGTGAATTCACCTCTAAGTATCTGTGTCTAGAAGTAGCTAGAGATCAATCACTGTAAGGTTTTTGTCTCCTGAGAGGGTTGAATGGGCAGATGGGAACAAATAATGATTTCTCTAGAACCTAGGCAGTCTAATGATAAGGCAGGTCTTTAAGAATATCAGTCATGTGCTCCAAAAGAGACTCGCTTTGGCATTTCAGGAAATAAGCATTTATTTCTATAAATTCTTTTCTGATGCCATGATGTCAGTATGCCTGTGGCAATGCGAGATTACCCAAATAATACGGGCCAGGGGAGCAACAAAATTAGCATGTGTGTGACTTACCAAACCTTTGCCAGGGTTCTTAAGGGCTCTGAGGAGGAAGGTAGGATACTGCATCATCACAGAAATACAATCCCAGTGATTTATACAGTTTTGCCAAATAAGGCCCATGGGGAAAATACAAAAGGCCTAGAACTGCCTCCAGCTTCTCTTGAGACAGCCTGTTTGTCAAAATGCCTAGCTCATGGTCTAATGCCCTCCTTTCACGTCATAGCTGACATTTAATCCTGACACTTTTTAATAACCAAACAGCATTTTACGAAAAGTTAATTAATGTCATTTTATTTGGGTACTATGTGACTTAGAACTCTTTTTACATTCTGAATTTTGTTTGACATTTTGAAAATACTATGCCTAACTCTTTTGTGTGGATTAAAAAAAAAAAAACAGCACTTTTTTTAATATAGCTAGCATGAATTGAATACTATTTTTTTTTTCCTTCTCAAGAATTGACACAAACACCAAAATATTTTTCATTCAAGCTCAAAGAAATGAAGCATTCTGTTTGTTTGGAATCTTAATTACCATGGTCCCAAACTTACCTAATTAGAAGCTCCTTCATAATGAGGAAAATTATTTTCAAAGTTAATGAATTTGCAAACAGGAACATTGCTGCCTTTCCAGAATGAATTACCCACATTCCTTAAATATATAGTTAAACACTAATTAATATCAGTACTTAAAATATGTGGAATTGGTTTCACTGATAAATCAAACTTTCCTTTGTTTTAGACAGTATAAAAAGACTACGATTCCCCTCCTTGTAGACATCAGGCTGCACACAGAAACTTAATTCTAGATTCTGAACAAAATGAAAGTTATTTCATCAAAATGCTTCATTTTAGTGATTTTAGGCACTTCAAGCTTGTTAACATCAAATGTCTTTTGTTCAGATGAATTAATGATGTCCAATCTTGCCAGCAAAGAAAATTATGACAAATATTCTGAGGTAAGTTTTTTAACTCTAACATGACTAATATTAACTATATATTTGTCCTAAATCTAATGCATTTTTATTTTATAAAGAAAAAGGAATAAGTTTGTTTGTGCTTTGTTGTTTGTCCAATTGCAGCCTTCCATGACAGTGCGTTGATGTAACTTGTATTTTTTAATACAACAGCAAACAGTCTGGCATAATGACAATTTATGTACAGGATATGATACTTAGCAAGCACAAGGTACATTAATAATTTTCAATTGACTCAGAAGTACACAGTTGTAATAAATAGTTGCAGAAATAAGACCTGGATATATTTCAGCTGAACATTTGAGTTGTCTTCGACTACAAACAACAACAACAACAAAAATATATAAGGATTATCTCTTCTACTTAGTAATGATGAGCCAGTAAGTTTATGGTACGTCTATATCAAAGTAACGTATTTATCCTTAGATGGTGGAATTGCAAGATATTTCTATTTTCTTCTTTATGATTTTATATATTTTCCAAACTTGCTGAAATGAGTATGTATTTCTTTTCACAATCAGAGAAACAATCATTTAAAAATCTTCATAAGGACAAATTTTCATGGTAAAGCTAAATCTAATTAAATATTTGCTGTATTTTAAATGGTTCATTTAAGATTGGTATGTTAGGGGTACAGTAGCCCACAAACCAAACAGTGCTTTCCTAAAAATGTAGTTGCATACTAATAAAAATACAATCAGTTTCTTAGAGCAGAGCTCTGAATATGAGCAGGTAAGAAAGACAATGGAGCCTCCTCTAACTCTACCCGAAAACCTGGCCAGCATCTCTGTTTTCATGTATCCGCCACTTCAGCATTTAAAAAGAGGAGACACAGGGATATGAAGAGGCAGTGGGAGGTTTCTCTAAAATCAAAATATAAAAATACATGAAATATTTCATAAACAACATGGATCAAAAGCTGAAGGAGAACAACTGCAGTAAGATAAACTTTTTCCTCCTTTCAATACTTTGTGTGCTCCTGCTGCTCAAACACGTTGCTGTATTCACTCTATGGATTTTAGTAATATTTTACGGTTGTCTTACAATAGTCCAGGAATAGAGAAACTGGACTGCTTTAAGAAACCTAATATGAACTATTTATTTAAAAATTCTGCCTATGAAAACACAAACTTTGTTTGTTGCTTTAACAGTTCTGCAAACTGAAGTCTGGATTTAAGTTAATTTGGGGTTTAAACCTATTGCCTATAACAATAACTTATGTTTTTAAGATTCTTTAAAAAAAACTTTTTAATTTTTTTTTATTTTTTTATTAACATATAATGTATTATTAGCCCCAAGGGTACGGGTCTGTGAATCGCCAGGTTTACACACTTCACAGCACTCACCATAGCACACACCCTCCCCAATGTCTGTAAACCAACCACCCTCTCCCTCCCCCCTCCCCCCAGCAACCCTCAGTTTGTTTTGTGAGATTAAGAGTCTCTTATGGTTAACAAAAACTTATTTTAATATACATTTCCAATCATAGCCTGAAGGAGACCTTAAGGGGGAAAAGGAAAGAAGTCTGAATTTTGAAGAACTAAAAAACTGGGGTCCAAAAACTGTCATTAAGGTGAGTGCACCCGCAGTCAACAAAATGCCACACTCGGCAGCCAACTTGCCGTTAAGATTTGGGAGGACCGTGGAAGAAGAAAGAAGCACTGGGGTGATGGCCAATCTGCCTCTGAGATTTGGAAGAAATATAAAGGAAAGCATCTCAAGACATGTTCCTAACCTGCCCCAGAGGTTTGGGAGAACAACAGCCAAAAGTGTCGCCAAGGCACTGAGTGATTTGCTCCAACAATCCATGCATTCGCCATCTGCCAGTGAGCTACTCCATGAACTGCCAGCCTCAAGAAATCCAGAATTCTGATCAAAAACTCCCATGGTAAATACCCGAAAACCAGTCAAAATGCATGGGCTCTTGTATATAGCTGGTCCAGAAACGTGAAAAAGGATTACCTCTTTTCAAAAGAAATTTCTCAGAAAGTTAAGTGTCTTAGGAGGAAAAAAGCAAAGAGAAAGGGAAATAAGTACCTAAACTGAGACCTACAGAAGGCCAGATATAAACATGAGTAGCAGTAGGAAGTAATGACGTGGCTTCCCCTAAGCCCCACATGGGCATCAATCTCATTACTCTATAGCCACACACTGAGTAGGAAGATTCGATGACGTGATTGGGAATTAGGCCTGTGACATATAGTCCAACATTTGACCTCTTTAATGTGAAAGGTCCCGCATGAGGGAGCTATCTACAAGGACAAAGGAAGGCATCCCAATACCCCAGGTCTCAAATTCAGAAGGTTTTCTTCCTCAACCTTAAATCAAATTTTTTTTAATTTTTCTGGACCTCATTTTATAAGTGAGTTCTAATTCAATCATTGTTTGCTTTAGTAAGTATTTATTAAGTTATCTACTATGTACAAATCAGAAAGCAAGAGGTCCATAAAATTAATAGGCAACTTACCTATTATTTTCTAATAGAGTATATATAAAAACAACAAAACCAACAAATTTCTATAAAGTGGAACATGACACTTTAATTAAGGCCTTTAGAAAGGAAGGCAGCAAGCTGTGACACCTTAGAAGGGAGACATTTTCAGAACATTCCTGGTTTTATTTTTTACCATGGCTCTTATCCCTATCTGACATATGTTCAGAGTCCATTCCCCCTTACTAGAATTTCGGGCCCATAAATCCCATGCTTTTGTCCACTGCGTATCCCCAGTGCTCAGAAAAAAAGAGAGAGAGAGGAAAAAAGGAGAGTATTTCTACATGTGGAAATCTGAGAAATTTTTTTGAGTTAGACTTTGAAAGATGGCTCTGTTTTGAATATTCAGAGACTGGTGGGAGGAGAGAAGATACTTTTAGGCAAAGAGAGGAGTATGAACCACAGCTGGGGTTCAGTTTGGTGAAAGCAGCAGGGGTATGAAGAGGAGAGGAAAGAAGGTAAGAAGGCGAGGAGGTTGGGGTAAGAGCAGAAAAGTGCACTCGGGGCTCAGTAAAGGATGAGTAAAGGACATTATTCATCAAGGAAAGGAGAACCACTGACATTTCTGCTCAAGTCCTGAGATGTAACACAGAAGCAGAATTTGGCAGCTCACCAGATGTTGGCAGTGAGACAGTCATGAGGAAGAGGGATGAGTCAAGGGTAAGTTGGTAAACCTGAGTACGCACCCATTACAAATTAAGGTTCTCATCAACATCTCACTCGTTTCAAGTGCAACACAATTCAACTCAAGTATAATTAGGCAATTAGGATCATGGCTATATTTTTGTATGTATTCATGGCATTGTTATGATGGATGAGAACATTTTGTATGGCTTCCATTTTAGGAGACTGGGATTCAAGAAAATAGATGGTGTGGAACTGAAACAAGAAAAATAAGCCTGGACCTTGTCCCCGAAGACAATTTAAGCTGTGATCTGTAATCTACAAGCAACTCTACAGTGAGGACACCAATGGATGAAGAAGAGTCACTGTATTCTTCTGATGGGTTATCATTGACAACAATTTTTCTTCGTCACTAGAGCTAGTATCTTAAAAAGTTATTAAAAAAACAATTTAAAGAATATTATAATGTAAATATGAAATAATTTTTGTCTAAATAAAAAGAACATGGCAAATACTTAAGAAGCCTCTGGTAATGAGGAAAGAGGGAAGAGGGGGGCACGGGGGAAGGCTGAAGCCATCTCACCATCTTATGTAAAAATCATAGACACAGTCACACTGAAATAAAAAATTAAATAGATGAATAGCCTGACAAATGTTTTTATGAAATTTAAATAATTTAAGAGAGTAACATGGTTGACAAGTGAACAAGAATAACAAATCACTTACAAATGTGTTTTTATACACCCATTTTTTTTTCCATTGCATCAACTGTTAGTGATTCTATGATAGGTTGAAATTTTTCTAAAAAGAGAGATTTTTTTTTAAGGCAGTTATTAGATACCTCTTTAAGTGTCTCCTCTATTTGGAAACTTGCTTTCTGGTGTATCTCTTTTCTCATTTAATAGTTCAAGTTTTTGATTTGCAGAAAAAATCTGGTCACTCCTAAACTAACAATTTATAAACACAGTACACTACAACACAAATGCACAGTTATTCAACTTTAGTCATAAGAACATGAGGTCCCTAATCAGATATAGCTGGTTTACTGAACAGTCTCAAGTCCATAGGGTGCAAATAAGAAATGGTGTTATTGGGGCGCCTGGGTGGCTCAGTGGGTTAAGCCGCTGCCTTCGGCTCGGGTCATGATCTCAGGGTCCTGGGATCGAGCCCCGCATCGGGCTCTCTGCTCAGCAGGGAGCCTGCTTCCTCCTCTCTCTCTCTCTACCTGCCTCTCTGCCTGCTTGTGATCTCTCTCTGTCAAATAAATAAATAAAAATCTTTAAAAAAAAAAAAAAAAAAAAGAAATGGTGTTATTTTCCCTCCTATCCTGCCCCCAGCTGTGCTGTGTTGAATGTCCTTTCCCTGCTGGGTAGTGATTCCTTAATGAGAGACCCTGGACAGAGTCTATAACCTCCTTGGTCACTTCCTGATATTAAAAAACTCAGTCAAGTCCACAAGAAACAGACTCTTAACTACAGAGAACAAACTGATGGTTACCAGAAGGGAGGTGGGGGGGCAGTAAATAGGTGGTGGGGATTAAGGAGGGCACTTGCTGTGATGAGCACCAGGTGTTGAATGGAAGTGTTGAATCACTATATTGTACACGTGAAACTAATATTACACTGTATGTTAACTAACTGGAATTTTTTTTAAAAGAAAAAAAAAAAAAACTCAAGTCCAGTTAAAGATGCCAACTTCAATCCAAAGCAAAGCTTCCCATCTCCCATTGCTGGCTGGGCTCGAGACTGGAAGGACCTGAAGAGGTGAAAGGGGCATCTCTCTGTTCTTCCCCTCTTCCTCCTCTTCCTCACCTCAGAGGAATGATAGGCTTCTGGAAAACAATATCCTCTCCTATTTTCTCCAGGGTGTCTGAATGGGCAAAGGAGAGATGGGGTAGGGGGTCAAGAGTAGCCTTTGTGTCTTCTCTAAATGATGAGACTGCTTCTACAAGTGAGTTCTTCAGGGAGCCCTATCCAGGGCAGTGACCTGAGAGACCAGGATGCTACTTGATCTCTTCCAACGACCATTACCTCATCTGTACTGCGCCTAGCTTCTTACTGCCAGAAAGGAAGGCTAGAGCCAACCACTTTCTCAGCATCCACTTAATCCATAGAAAACACAGTCATCCCTCTATGCCGAGGGCTGGACTGCACGCTGCCCCTCGGCTGCTCCATGCTGAGCGCATTTGTCTCCAGCCCTCTTTTCCCTGTTTAGGAGGGGCAGGGGCAGATCAGTAAGTCTACTGCCTAAGCAAACAGCCAGTCAGAAGTGAAGTGCCAGTGCCCACTTCATGCCCCTGCTCTCAATGAGGGGTTTTCTAGAAACTTCTCTAGCTTGGCTTCAGGGTGAGGAGCCCCTGCAGCGGGGCCTCCTCTGGGCCTGCCTCTCAAACACAGCTGGGAGGGGCTTCTGTGGCTCTACCACCTCTTTGTAAACCCTGAAGGAGTGTTGGTCCCTACCATCCACAGTTTTCATTATAATACTAGGTGTTTTGGCAGCTTTTACATCCAGATTTGGTCCCTAGTCACCAATTCTGAGCAACAGAGAAAGTATCACGCAACATCCTGATACACTAATAAAGAAATAAACAAAAAGCCATGTAATCCCTTCATACTATATGACATGGGGAAATTTCTTGTCATATAACATGAGTTCTTTACCTAAACCCTTGAAATATATGGAAAGTGTCAGGTAAATAACGGCTGCCAGCTTTCCCTTACCTACTTGGCTTGTTCGCTGGCTTCCCCAAGAAACCATTCACACAAGGGAATTCACAATTTTGCTAAGCATTTGTGGGATCTTCAGAAGGGGATCTCACTCAGAGCATTTCACTGAAAAAGTTTCAATTGGACAAGCCTGTTCTGCCGAGTATCTCTTTAACTGGACAACTAGTAGGTTTCCCTCCTTCTTCACCCCAGGGTAACATCGTGGATGTGCAGCCCATGCAGTCACACAGGGCCCTTGCTTGGTTAAATGCTCTGTTGTTGCCTTCTGAAATTCATAATAAATTTGAAGAAGGGGCCAGTATTTTTATGTTGCAGTGGTTCCCTCAAATTATGCAATTTGTCCTGTTCCCCCAGACTTGTCCTTCTGGCTCTTCCCACACTTCCAGTATTCCATTTCTCCCCATGTTTATTAATCAGAGCAGCTCCCATTTTCCACATAAAACCCAAGGGTCAGCCGGTCACACAGGCCTGGGAGGTCTGCTTATATCATACAGCTGATATCAGTATAACTGCACAACTTGTAAGATGTGGTCAAATGCAAATTTATTTTTGTATCCCACTACCTGCTTTAAGATGTAAGGGACAGGAAAGAAGGTATACAGCAATTTTCCTCTGGTCCTGGATGGACGCTTAGACAGATGCCCTGAACCTCACAGGTGTTGAGTGACGTCAGACTCTTGGGTCTAAGTCAAAAATGTGGAGTCTCAATTTCACTGCGATCAACATTTCAGTCTGTGTTCAGTCATCCATTAATTCATTCTCTACTGTTGTCACACCGGCCTGAGTTCGGGGTCAGGACTGTACTCAACTTCTGCCTCCATTCTAGGCTCACCTGATTTCCTCACTCTGGCTGCTTTGTTGAACTCTACTGGGATGGAAGACAGTCTGAGATCAAAGTCAAAGGGATAGGACAGTTCTTACCAGGGTGGATGGATTCACCTTTGGGCCCCATTTCTGGGCCGCTCTCCCTCCACCTTCTGTTGCCCATAACACCTTTCAACTCCCAAGCAGGCCTCAGCTCCGACCTTAGGACTCAACCATCCACTGCACACATGCCCATTTGTCTTCTGAAGGGCCTCTTCAGTAGGATTCCAGATGGTTCTCACAAACCTCTCTTTACCAAAGTCTGGTCACACACGGTTCACCCTCCACACTCCCAACACTCCTCTGTTATCCTGCTGCTGCCAGAGCTTTAGCTTTTTTGGCCTGAAGTTGGGCACCAGTCTTTTGTTTCTCTCAACCACACGGAACACATTTCTTCGTCATACGGAAGCCCCTCCTTGGTAAAGAGTAAGAAGCGTAGTAATCTCTGACACCTGGGCATGGGAAGGGGGCATTCAGAGTGAGGGAACAAAGCTCCTCAAAGAAATCTCTTCATAAACCCAAATCCTACCCTTTTATAATCTCCACATAGGTAAAGGGATTGAGGATTAATGGAACCTCTTGCAAATGGTGATTTCGCTTTGGAATTTTAGTCTGTTAGATTTTGATGTTTGGTTAAAACTTCTTTTTTACATCCTTTGCAACAGTGTTGGAGCTATCCTTACAAGGAATGCTTATACCTGCTAAAAATGTCATTTTCTCTGAATCATTACACATATATATGAATCTTTCTGAAAAAGAGTCCAGAGTTCTTGGGTAAATTCTCAGTGGTGTTTCCATAAAGCTTAAGAATCACTTCAATAGAAGATTTTTATTTCTAGAATAACTTTAAATTAACATCTAATTCAATTTATAAGTAAATATTGTTATCTAATTAGACAATTAAGTGCAGAGAACGTAATGCCAAAACAATCAGAACTACTCAAGTGGCTTAACCTGATCTTCCTCCAAATTCTGACTTTTTACAGTAGCATAAAATGGAAGTGACATGGTAATTATGCCCTTCTCCTTAATGTGCTTTCCTGGGCACATCCCCAAAATATCCCATTCTATACCCTTCCTCCTCTCTTCCAATACTTCCCTTCTTTCCCACATTCCCATATTCCATTTGAATTGGTCCTGACCTAAACCTCAGTCAGCCTGTAAAGTGAGCAAAGTGTAGGGGCTTCGGGAAAGCTGGGATGGGCAACATCAATGATTTTCATGGGAAGTGACTTCCATGTGATCTCAGGTCCACATTTCATACATCACACTATGACAATGACCTTGAGAAATACAAAAAGGAAAAAAAATATACTGACTCTGGGACCAATTTCTCAGTGAGAAAAATGAAAGATCAGTGTTCACCTAACTGTGACCAACAAAATGAAATAGGCGTGAAAGGTGAGAGCACCGGCCTCAGCTTACCTCATGTGTGTTTTCCATTTGTCCTCAAGCTCTTTCTGCAGACATTATGTGACACTCTTCCTTTGGAACTTGCCCTTTTATTTAATGAACACTCCAAACTATGCTTTATTCCTAGAAACAAAAACTTTCATGTTCCTGTACCTCTCCCCCGCTTAGTAATAGTGATGATTTATTGATATGATAACTACGTCTGGTTTAACATCTAATGCTGTTCTATTTTTGTGGTGCTCATTTTATACGTGAGAAGTAAGCTGAGAAAGAACTTTCTGAAGAAATCTGAGCTAAGAAGAGGGGAAAACTGAGAC